AAAGTATGTGCAGTTACAAAATGTGCAGTTCTGAAAATAAATGGGAAACTTTTCAGAAGTGGCAGGCACCCATTCCAGTGTCCGGCCCTTTTCCCATCTCTCTGACCCCAGGACTTGGCACTCCCTGGGACTCTGAGCATGAAGGTTTCAGTTTCAGTCCTTCAGGGAAACACAAACTGCCCCAGCTGGGTCCTCTATAAATGGATAATTAAATGTTGCCAGGGAGCCAGAGGAATATAAGAAGGTTAGCTTCCACCATTACATGCAACCTAAAAATAATTATAAATAAAACAAGTAGCAAGAGCTGTGCTGCATCACACCAAAATCCTATCTTCTTCACCATTCTGTTTGCACAGCGGTCAGCTTTTCAAAGTAGGAAAAAAAGGATAGTTGAAATGTAGGCTATTTTAATTTTTTTTGCAGGACTGACCATCAGGAATTAGGTCCAGTATTCCCAAATTTCTGTTCTACCCAAGTACCAAATGAAAGTATCAATATCAGTTAATTTAGGGATTATTCAGACGTTGGTTTTTTTAGAGTGAATATCCGAATAATCTCGCTCACGCATTCCAGTTTGGTTGTTTGCACTATTTTATTTTTAGTGGAATTGCGTCTCAGTGTGTTCTGTTGCTCAGATGCGTCAGCATTGCAGATAAAGATGGAGTCTATTATTATTATTATTATTACTACTATTATTATTATTATTTGTATCCTGCTTTTTCCCTGTAATTGGGACTCACGGAGTCAGTAATGCAGATGTATCTGAAACACATTCAAAGCATGCAGAGTATTATCCCAGTTTATCCCAGGTCTATTTGCAATGGTTATTCACACAGCCGACAATTCAAATCTTTTAGGAAAACTTAGACAAAATCCTGAAATTGATTATCCTGGTTTAAGTGGGGTTTTTAGCGGCCTCCCCCATACTAACTTGGATGCATGTGAAATGCATGTGAACAGCAAAGATTCAACCCACATTCTACTGGGATTATTTTAATCTGAATAACCTTCAAGATGGGTAAGATATTATTATTATTATTATTATTATTATTAT